GTTGACGCAGGTATTGTACACAGGTAAGTTGGGAAACTAGGGATCGAGCCCTGGGATCTGTCTCAGCTACCACAAATTGGTGAATACCGTTTCATATGTCTCCGTCCGTGTTTGGTGAGGTCATTACAATGGAATAAATAAAGAGACAAGTGCCGGTCATCAGGTTTTGACTTAAAAAATGCAAAAAAAAAACCACGAAATTGCACGACTTCGAAAAGGCAAAACAAAACATGAAACGGCAGTCTGCACACCACTGGCCCCGGCCTGCAAAAAACGTGACACATTCGGAAAGTCGTGCTGCGCTCGAATCCCCTTTACAAACTGGTCCATTTTTTTGGCTCATTTGAAACTCAATCGTGACGGAAATGTACTTAAAACCGCCAATACTTTTCCCCACTTGGTTTTCAAAGTCGCTTCGTCCCATTTCCGCTTTCGGCCTTTCTTTTCCGCCCGCAGCCAGTGTATGGGAAAGATACTGGTGGTGTAACCCCCGCCCCCAAAAAAACCCTCCATTTTGTGGTGGTACAGAAGGAGGCAACAAAAAAAGAAGAAGTGGCGGCAAGCAGTTTGATTACATGAGACGTATAGTGGGCACATTCACAAAATCGCAGGAAACTTATGGGCACATCTAGTGTTATGTACCCGAATGAGCTTCAGTCAACAACCAATTCGCACATCCCCATACACGCATGCAATTGTAGTGTAGACTCGATAAGTTGGATGCGAGGGTATTAGCCGGGTAATCAATTTAAGATAAAATATAACCGTAGTGGTTCAGATTACAAATGTATATTGCCTAGCTGAGTGTAAGGGCAGTAGCCTAGTAATCAGCCTATAGTATTGGAAGCAGCAACAATGGCCGCACTGAATGTCGTGGAGTCACTCTTGTTTCAAATGCAAGGAAAGATTACGCACATGTGACATGCATGTCATGTAGCACTGACAAGTATAGCATTCACTTTCACAAATCACTGGAAGCTTTGTCGAAGTAAGTCTATTACAAATACAAATACAAACCCTCTCAGTCGCAGTGGAGGCCAATTCAGACAAAGACGTGCCTAACCTAAATCAACTCCAATTTCTTCCCATCACCAACTACACTCCTCAACTTAGGAGCTCTTGTCCAAAATTTGACAACGTGCTCCCTAATGTACATCCTTACTATTTCTAAGAACAAAATTCCACCATGCTCTCTACTCCATACCTTCCGGACAGATCTCAATGTGTTCCCTATTGCAGATTTTTTGAAACAGAATTTCATCATCCTCTCTACTGCAAATCTGCATAATCATTTCCCCCCCTCCTCATTCCCCTTACCCCTCTCTCTCTCTCTCTCTCTCTCTCTCTCTCTCTCTCTCTCTCTCTCTCTCTCTCTCTCTCTCTCTCTCTCTCTCTCTCTCTCTCT